GCACCTCCAGCTGCACCACCTCCAGCTGCACCACCTCCTGCTGCACCTCCTGCTGCACCTCCTCCTCCTGCACGTCCTCCAGCTGCACCTCCGCCTCCTGCACCTCCTCCAGCTGCACCACCTCCAGCTGCACCTCCTCCAGCTGCACCACCTCCAGCTGCACCTCCTCCAGCTGCTCCTGCACCTCCGCCTCCTGCTCCTCCTCCTACACCTCCGCCTACACCTCCGCCTCCTGCACCTCCTCCTGCTGCACCACCTGCTGCTCCCCCTGCTGCATTACCTCCCCAACGTCCGCCACCAGCACCTGTTCCTCCTCCCCCTGTTTGCCAAGGATTCTTCATAACCAAACTCCCACCAAGAGCTCCATCAGCATGGCCTTTGTGTGGCTTACGTCTCGAGCCAATACACCCAGGATCTTCGGAATGCAAACAATCTTCCTTGATATGACCGTTCCCTAAGTTTTTCCCTTTGTGTATTTCTTGCCAAAAATGATGTTCTTTTAAAATGTTATCACTTCCCTTCTCGCTATTTCTGTCACTTCCAACGTTCGTATTTCCGTCATCGTGTTTGTCACTTTTGTGTTTCTTATCTTCCGAATTAAATCCATCTTGTTTTTCTCCTGTCTCCTGTTTCCCAAAACTGTCATCAGACATGCTGACACTTACATCTGGAAGATCTTTCCCACCTTGATTAAAAATATTCCCATTTTCGCCTTTCAAATGAGAATGAAACACCACATGCTTATTATTGTTTCCAATTTCACTTTCGCTCATACTGTTGTATGATGACTTTACTTCGTCATCATTTGAAGTCTTAGAATCATACACATTTTCTTGTTCTTTGATATTGTTCTTTTCATTCAAGTTTCCAGAATCACTATTCGAAAAAACTTCATTCAAAGTTTGCGAAATCCTGTGTGCATAATTCGCATTCAAGTCTCCGTTGTGTAAACTTTTGAAATTCTTATTTAATTCTTCATTATTATCTGCTCTTTCATTGCTATTTGTTCTCTCTTGTGAGAATTGGTCATTAATATCTTTCCCTGGAGGACCATTGTTGATTTCGTTACCATTTTTATCATTAGAGTGTTGTCCATTTGACAATACCACTTCATTCCCTTTAAATGTTTCGCTGTTTTCTTGGTGTTGGTTGTCTTCCTTTCCTGGTGGTATGTTGCTTATATTGTCTGCATTCTTGTGGTTACTTTTCTGGTTATCCTGTCTGTCTTGCTCTACTGCTGAGTTTCCAGACAGACCATCTCGTGTCTCTTGTGGAGTTTTGCCTTGAGAGATGTCATTGTGTTCCTTACTGTTATCCTGAATCTTCTGTTGGACTTGTTCTCCTCCCATAACAGAATTATCTTGAATATCGTTTTGATCAGTGTCAGTTTGATCTTCAGGACGATCTGCATGTTGCTCTCTGTTATGATCTTCTGTGCCAGAACTTTCAGGAGCATTACCTGGCATATTTCCGATATGTTTTTGTGAAACTGTATCTTCATTTTCTTGGGAGCTGGTTCCTTCTGTGTCTCTATTCTCTTGGGGGATGGTTCCTTCTGTGCCTCTATTTTGTTGGGGGATGGTTTCTTCTGTGCCTCTATTTTCTTGGGGGCTGGTTCCTTCTGTGTCTCTATTCTCTTGGGGGATGGTTCCTCCTGTGTCTCTATTCTCGTGAGGGCTGGTTCTTCCTGTGTATCTGTTCTCTTGGGGGCTGGTTCCTTTGCCTTCTGTGTCTCCATTCAAGGAATTGACATTCGGCAACTCCTGATGGTTATTAGTCTCTAACTTGTCTTGTTCTCCAGTTTGCAAATGATTGTTTCCAATACTTAGACCATCTTGCTTTAATTGTGGCGCTGTTACGCCGTCTGATGCATCCTTTCCTGTTTCGTTTGTTACGTATTTATTATCATCTTTAGGACTGTCATGCATATTGTTTTGTGTAATGGAATTCTCATCAGATTCACCCCCGCCCCAATTGTGGGTTGTCTGTGGTAAAGATTGTTCAGAAACATCTAAGTTGTTATTAGAGCTGTGGCTTTGTGCATCATTCTCGGGTGTTTGATTTTCAGAATTTTCTCCGTCGTTAGAGTGTGATGAAGTCTTCTCCCATGGATGTACATTTTGTCCTAGAAAACAAAAGCAACACTTGCAAAATTTAACGTCCTAGTATTGATAATACAGCAGTTAGTGCATGAAATATTATGAAAACAAACGCTTTATTTTGAATACGCAATGAACCTTTACCTTCATTGCCCTTCTGTGAAATTCCGCCAATCCCTCCTGTACCACCCCACGCATGCGTGATCTCTGACTGTGATTCATCCTGTTGTGCTGTGATATATTCTGGTTTTCCTGTCGCTTCTAATCCAGAATCTGTGCTTGCCTCGAGTGAATTGCTTGATGACTGTGCATTGTTAGACTTGTTTGAATTTGGAGAAGACATTTGAACGGTTGACTCCGTTGGGCCGTGTTGTTCTTGGCTTGTGCCTTCGTTCAATGCATGAGTGTGTTCTGGGAGAACTTGATTCTCTGGTTTTCTAAGACTACCACCAGGGTTAAGATTAACATTCGAATTAGGATCAGGATTAAGATTAACACCGGAATTATCATGAGTATTGTCTGCGTTGTCGTGTTCTAAATTAACATTATTTTGTGTCTGCGTGTCTTGGGAACCAGGCGTAAGACTCCCATCCTTTTCGTTCTGAGTTGCAAAACTTCCTTGAGTATTTTGATTATTTGTGTCAATATTTGAGCTCCCATCTTTTGTCAAAGGTTCAGTTTGGCTTTGCTTATTAGACATAAGACTCACATCCTTTTCATTCTGAGTTGCAAAACTTCCTTGAGTATTTTGATTATTTGTGTCAATAGTTGAGCTCCCATCTTTTGACAAAGGTTCAGTTTGGCTTTGCTTATTAGACATAAGACTCACATCCTTTTCATTCTGAGTTGCAAAACTTCCTTGAGTATTTTGATTATTTGTGTCAATAGTTGAGCTCCCATCTTTTGACAAAGGTTCAGTTTGGCTTTGCTTATTAGACATAAGACTCTCATCCTTTTCATTCTGAGTTGCAAAACTTCCTTGAGTATTTTGATTATTTGTGTCAATATTTGAGCTCCCATCTTTTGACAAAAGTTCAGTTTGGCTTTGCTTATTAGACATAAGACTCCCATCTTTTTCATTCTGAGTTGCAAAACTTCCTTGAGTATTTTGATTATTTGTGTCAATAGTTGAGCTCCCATCTTTTGACAAAGGTTCAGCTTGGCTTGGCTTATTCTCTGAATTCGAGTTTCCCGTTGTGTCGGCATTTCCATGTGTATTTGCCACGTCGTTCCCTTGAGGAGGATTTTCTAAACTATTCTGTATATTCGCATCACCGTTTCCATTGTTTCCAACTGTCGCGCTGGGATGAAGCTGATCAGTTCCGTGCTCGTTTAAGTTGTTGCCTTGTCCTTGCTTGTTTGCATTGTCTCTATTAGCCTCGCTCACAGATTGTGAACTTCCAGATTGTTCAGAATTTCTAAACATGGTTCCTGTATTTTGACCAGTATTTTGCTGATTTAATGCGGTACCTCGCTGTTGATTTGTTGGAATTGCTTGCTCTGTATTGTCTCCATTAGCCTCGCTCACAGATTGTGAACTTCCAGATTGTTCAGAATTTCTAGACATCGTTCCTGTATTTTGGTCAGTATTTTGCTGATTTAATGCGGTACCTTGATTTGTTGCAGTTGCCTGCTCTGTATTGCCTCCGTTATCCTCATTTACAGGATGAGAAGTTTGACTTGAAAATTGTCCAGACTGAGGCTCTGTATTCTGCTCACCAGAATGTTCTTGAGTAGCTTGATTATTTTTCTCAACATTCTGTGATATTCCAGCTGACGTACTTGCTTCGTTTCCAGGCGTTTCACCAATATTTCCGTGAACATTCGTACCAGAATTTCCAGAAACGTCTACATTCACATTTCCTAGAGTTTTGTCAGCACCCTGAGAAGTGATTCCATGAATTTGCTCGGAGGATGTAACTTCACTATGACTATTACTTTCCTCGGGAGTGTTTGAAGTAACCTGACCATTGCTTGGGTTTGTATCTGCATTCCCAGATGACCCACTTCCTGAGCTTGTTTTCTCTACATGGCCAGAGTCATCTACAGGTTTTGTACCGTTAACAATATTTAAATTTGTAGCTGTTGTGTGATTGGTCGAAACCTGTTCTCCCATGGTTTCATTGGTTCCTTCAATATCTCCATACAATAATTCATCATCTTCATCATGATAATCATCTTGGTCTTTATCTTCGCCTTCTTTATTAAAGCCATGAAAATCATAATCTGTCTGAAGTTTTGCCTCCACTTTTGGAGCAGAGCTTGCATTAGGCGCTTCGTTAGGATCAGAGCTTGCCAGAGTGTGGCTTGTCGGTTCACTTGAGCGCGTGACTAAGGAAGCTGTATCAGACTGGTCGATAGAGTTCACCTTCCCATCTTCAAACGTATTCTTTGTGCTTTTATAAGTGCCTGGAACTTCAGCGCCATAGCACACACAAGTGTACGCAGTCAACAGTAGATACCCCAAAGATATGATCCGCGACTTCATTTGACCATCTCAATCAACCTGAAATCAAATTACGTTGAAATTATGAACTTTAACCTTATTGACACTGAAGCCTCGAGAGAGGTTCTGTGTGTTTTTGAACTATTACACTAATCAGTTACGAGCAAAAGTTGGCACAGTTTCTTCCTTCTTTTGCCCATAATAAATAAATTTCAATAAATTAAAAAATAAATCATCCTTTGTGATGTATTTGTGATCCTTGTTAGCCATTATATTAATCACTTAAATCTTGAGAGAAAGCGGACCTGACGAGCTTGCAAAATTCATAAGTAATTTCAAACGAAATTAAAATTATGGATATGTGAAGTTAACTTGAATACATGTCACGCGAGATTATGCAGTTACTGTCGAGAGCAAGGTCACATGAAATATAATAAATTTGGATAATGTAACTTGTTTGTGAGCGTTTCACACAGCGAATATATATTCTTGATAATAACATTGATCTTTTTACCTACCTCGCTCAATTGAAATATCCCTACATTTCTTTATCATTATAATAAACAATATTTGCTACCTATTACATTAAATGATGACCATTTTTTATTGTTATTTTCCTTCTAGTTGCTGTTGAAGAGTTGATTTTGAACAAAACTAACCGGTCGTCAAAAATGCACCCGTTAGGATAATGTAAACAACGTTACACTGCTTAGTGAGATGTTTTCGTCCAGGTAAGAATTGTTTTGAGTTTTATATACAACAACGCGCTTGATACGAGTAATTAGTGACGCGATTTAGCAGAGGTAAAGATAATTTAAATCGAGTAAAGCTCAATGTTATCGGTAACATCCAAGGCCGGATTTTGGTGGAAATTGTGAGGGAGGTGGAAAGGTCTAACTCATTAGGGGAGGTGCAGCGGTCTAGCTCACGACCTCGATGGAAAGTTAGGGCTTAGAACGGGCCAAAGTCAACGACGTGACGTGTGCATGTAATGTACATATGTATCAGTGTATTAATGAATTATGACTGTACAACTCATCCAATTTTGCCCTTCATTACAATTACTACACATTTTTTTCAAAACATTGCATTAAAAGTGTACTTGACACAGAGATGGATGGCTATCACTGTTTCAATTTTACAGAAAAACTTTCTTACGAAGTGTAGACCCTAAGCAACCAAAAAAAGTCAATTTGATCTATCATTGAAACTTTCCCAAGGGGAGGTGCATGATTTTTCAGAGGAGGTGCAAAAATTCTCAGGGGAGGTGCAAAACGATATCAGGGGATGTGCGCATGGTAACATCCGTTATCTGTGGTTTAACAATTATAGGAGTTGGTACAGTATTATTGGAAAATATTAACTCTGCGAACCTGAAATTTGGCTTTGGAGATCGCGATACAAATGCTGTAAAGATACTTCTCTCCTTATCACTCTGCTAACTTTAAAGAAGAAGTAGAGGATGTTTTGTTTCTTATCATGAACAATTTTCTCAGACGGTTGTATTTTGAGATGTCTTCTCTCAGATCATCCTTCTGTCCATGTCAAGACGGCCATGCAAGAATGCATAGATTTGCTACATGTCTAGTGGATTAGAACCACATTATTTTATCTAATTTGTACTAATTAGAAAAACCCATAACAATTTAAAGAATACTTTTCATAACGGTAAATGTAAACAGTTATTTCCATTTCTGTGATACTTTCTGTAAAATTCTCCATAAGGATTTTATCGTATCCACATTTTTCCTCTTAAAATGTTTTTCATGTTTCTTTTTCGCTTTTCTTGCTATTTTCTTATCTATCCCTTTACGACTTTTTATTTCTTTTTTCCCTGTTTCATTTTCATTCCTCATTGATCCTGAATGTTCTTCGGTATCATGCAAGATCACGTTCTGTCCTTTAGGATCTAAACGTAACCCATACGCAGCCAAAGTATTATTGAGAATTTCTTGTTTTTCTTTTGATAAAATTTCTTCATGTTTTTGAACTCTGTTTATTGTCACTGGCTTGTCAACGTCATATATATTATAGTACGCTTGTTTTGGATGCAATTTATGTTCCTTTGTTGTATTGGTATATCTAACCAGTGGTTGTTTTAGATTGATCTTCGCTTGTGAGATGTTGTTAGTTTTACTATTAATGCTTGCTTTAGAATAGAGATCTTTGGGTTGACCTTTTGATTTCAGCTGTTCCTTTTTCGGAGAAGAACTGATTCTTGTTAGAAGCTTTGGCTTGTTTATTTGAGAAGAACCGCTTTTGTTCAATACGTGTTTTATGTTGCTTAACGTATTCTCCGTAGCCATGATATACCGAATATCGCGGCTAGAAAAAGGTTCTAGTGGTTTCAATGTTTCAGCCTGTACGTGAAGGTCTGGAGGAAGTTTTGTTGGATTGATCACGGGGAGGAGAAAATCCAGTTCTGATGGATTGATATTGATTCCTCGGTCAGCCAAGTCTTCCTCCTTTACTTCCACTATACAAGGGAAAAGAGAAAGTGGAAAACAATTTATAATCATCTAAGTTGTCTTTACTGCAGTTACTATGATAAACAAGAACTACGATAAAGCTGTAATACTACGCGAAAGCCTAATACTTTGTTATTCTTTGCGAAAGCCGATAAAGGTGTAATACTACGTATGTGTACTGTATCAGACTGTAGTAAGTACAAGCTGTAAGATTAAGCTTGAACTGACAACTATTGATGTCTCTCAGTGAAACTGTTTTAAACCTCAATTAGATCAAACGGAAATTGGTAGCGAAAAGCATCATGTAAGGTGTCAAGTTAATCGTAATTTATCATGCATTACAGTGATTACATATATAATAATACGTAGTGATCGTATGACAGCTGACTCTGTACATTGACTCAATATATTTGTATATTTGTACCAAAAGGATCTTTAGATGCTATATATTACTTACCTACATGATTATCAGTAATTACGAAACTCCAAACAGTTGCAATTATGACATACTGTGTCCAGTATACAATGTGAACTCTTCCATAGGGGAAATAACGATTATAATATACTAGCATTGTTCTGGTTAGATATTTATTAAAATTACTTCATCATTGCTGGTGAAGCCGCTATTATATTGATGTAGTCATGTTTCTCCTCAATTTACAAAAATAAAAACTATTGCTTTAACAACGAAACTTCGAATCTTTATTTACAAGTTTCAAAGTTTATTATCGTAATTGAAATATAAATAAATATACGGGTACCAGATTCATAGCATTGATAAAAGTTCTTGACTCTCGTAGTTGGGGGTCCAATGTAGGCAATATTCTATATTAGTATAATTACATAGGTGATTATTGAAAATTCTCCACGCTGATTGGTTGCCGTTGAGGTGATTATTACGCGATAATCACCTAAGCGATTTTCAAAATGGCGGCCGAAGCCGTTTTGTCAATTAAATGACGAAGAAATGTGCATTTTAAAATTTTTTTCCAAATAATCACCTATGAAATTATACTAAAACAATTATTCACCTCAGGCTCGGTAATTATCGTGAATAAAAACCTCGACTTCGTCTCGGTTTTTATTCACCGATAATCACCTCGCCTTCGGCGAATAATTGTTAAATAAACTGCCTTGGTTGGCCTCATCTGACATTAAAAACCTTTCAGTGTTTGGATGAAAGGCCGTCTTCCGGCAGGGGGGTCATTTTATGGAAACCTCGTCTCTTGTCGCCTAAAGCCCATTTTCCAAGGCGAACTTGTTCGCGAACAGTAAAAAGTAGGAACTGATCCAACTTTTTGTCGCTGACCGATCACATTGACAATGAAGGTTTGATGGTATATGGAGAGAGTGAGGGGGAAGAGTGGGAAGGTAGGAGAGAAGGGGTGGAGGAGGGAGAATAATGGGAGGGAATTGTGGAAAGGAAGAGGAGAAGAGAAAGGAATGAGTTGGGGAGAATGGCAAGGAAGAGAAGAGGGAGGAATTTGAGAAAGAGGAGGAGGGAAGAGGAGGATTCATTCCCAACTGTAATATGTGATATTCAACCGTCATTCAAAGTATATGTCGTTGCAAAATGCCCAAAATGGAGCACTCGACTCGTGTAAAGCTACGTTTACACACAACGATTAATCGGGTCGATTTCAGGTTTTACCGAATGTTAATGATGAATGCTGTCCGTTGACGATGTAATCAGATGATGTTGACAGCGTATTTTTCAAATATCATTTACTTAAACCTGAATCACAGATTAAGTATGTCCATACTGTCACAGATGAAGTATATACTTAATCTATGATACTGTGGCTGAATCGGCGCGATTAATCGTTGTGTGTAAACGCACCTCAAAACGGAGACTTGCACAAATTGTTTTGTCTATAAATGTCCCGATAGTTTCTTGTGGTTTTTATATCGTCTTTTGTTTAAATTGCCATTTGCAAGTTTTGAACGAAGATCTGAGTTTTCGCTCTTATTATTTGGTTTGAAAACATCAAATTTTGACTGTCCATGTATACGCACGCCCCCAATCACAGTCCCAAACTCGGTGGCTGAAGGGGTTACATCCATTGTGGAGGAGTATCTCCCGACTGCGCTTCTATTTTTCATGACATTTTCTGTAATAACTACGCCCGCATCTTTTCCATATTTTATATCAGTATGCTCCTCTTCCTTTGCATTATTTTCTTGGGATATCGAACCGGAAATTTGGTGTTCTAGTTTTAAATTTATAGGATTTAATATTGTTGAAGGTTGTGGCACTTCTTTCCCAGAATTAACTATATTTCCAGGATTTGGCATTGAATTTACGGAATTTGACATTGAATTTACGGAATTTGACATTGAATTTACGGAATTTGACATTGGAATATCGGGTTTTGGAACTGGATTTCCAGGGTTTGGTTCCTGATTTCCAATATTTAATACTGTACTTTCAGAATTTCCTGGAGTTGATACTTGATTTTCATGATTTGACATTGGAGTTCCAGAATGTGGTACGTGATTTCCTGGATTTGACATGGCACTTCCAAGATTTGACAAACTACCATTGCTACTCACAAAATCCTGAGACACTAAGGTACTTGAGTTGGTATTTACTGGATTTTGTAATTTTCCATTTTGGGAAAAAAATTGAGAATTATTCCCAGTAGCCGAAGCATTCATCGAATACTCTGTTGCTGGTAGTTTTAGTTTAGAATTTTTTAAAGAATCATAATATATAGTTAGACCTGGCTTCTGAGTTGGAATGGAGATGTTGGTGATATCTTGATAACTTTTATCTTTCGTATTTTCTTTGTTACCTAAAACAATTAAGTTTTTATAGTTGGGTCAGTGTGTGACTGGAGAGAATCATGAGAACAAAGACAACAAAACACTGTATTCCGCTTGCTCTATAGACTGCTGTCACAGAATAAAGACAAACAGAAGACTGACTTCTTGGTTTTTCCTATGATTTTGATAATATTCAAAATGGCAAACGTCCAAGGGGCGAATACCTCTCATAAGCCCACTGGCTAGGACAATGGCGTCAGCATTTTGATGACCAGCGGTTGCGCTTTTTTGGCAGAGTCGACCTTCTGTGTGTCTTGGCTCTGTGCTGATGTTATGCAAATAGTTCTTGCCAAGCTATAGTGCGTTGGAACTTCGGAACAATTATTATAATTACGCCACCCACCTTTAAATGGTCCTTTTTTCAACATTTCATACATGGAGTCTAAACTAAAATCATGAATAAACCATGTACTAGGAGGAGTGCTTCCACCTAGACCATACACTTCCACTTCACTTTCCTTGATCGCCTCAGCCGGGGACGTAGGCTCGTCATCAGGTGGGCGATCAGTAAAGACAAAAAATTTCTTTATTGCATCCTTTCTTGTTTCTTTTACCAAAGTTTTTAAAGCCAGCTTCAAAGCCTTTCCTGTGAATGTTTTATTTCCAAGCGCTGGAGGTGAACTCGCCTCGTCTAAACCTCCCATAACATCACCTTTAGTAAGTTTTTCCGTCATATTGAACATTAGTTTTGCCTTTTCAGCGTACAATATCAGCCCAACTTGTGTTTTATTGACTCCTACCTCACCAAAAGCTTTTGTGATTTTTTTCGCCCAATCTAAGGCCTCTTTGAAACTTTTCTTTCGTGGTGGGCTTGTGATATTTTTGGAACCATGAATTATGAAAGCGACATCAATTTGTAGTGTTTGTTCTCTTTTTAATGCATCTTCATCTGAAAAGAAAAAGCTTTTGTCATGCTTTGTAATTTGTGTGAAGCAACTTTTTTTTATACTGAATCGTTAGTCGGTTATCTTGGTCCCCCTGGAGGTCCAGTAAAGAACATCCATGCATTGTTTGTAGACAGAAAGATTGATGTACCAGGGACTTTAGACTTACGTAATCTGCGCATACCATCCGTCTATTTGTGTGTGTGTGTTAGGGGGAGGGGGGGGGGGAGAGCACCGTGTCAGTCCCCCTGTCTTGCCCCTCAGACAAGGAAACAAGGTTGCATGACCAAAAGCTGGTTGGTATATTCAAACTGGAAGCATTCTCCTCAGATACAATTGAGGCGACATTATTCACTCATATAACCCGCAGTACATGAAGTATGGCCCTGTTCTGGAGATGAAAATATATGCGATATATAGCCTCTGTGTATTTGTGTTATATAATCCCTGTGTAAGTCTAAAATGAATGTAAAAAAACATTTACCTTGATTTTTCTTCAATACAACAATGACAATAGAAGCAGACAACAACACTGACAGCAATCTCAGACCTGCAGCTAGCGTCTTTCTAGTTACAAACGACATGCAACTCACCGAATTCCGGTCCGTGTTTACATTAAATTATGATTTGTGCATTTAAGTATTTATAAATAAAAAACCACTACCGTAGTTTGAACTAGGATTATTTACATGATATATCTTTTTCACATTTTGAAGTTAAAATGAGTTGTGTTTAATGTACCTGCTCACAACCTGATGTTTGCTCATTCTTGCGTGAAGAATGTTTTAGTAAGAAATTGTGTTTTTGAAGATTTTATTTTCTCATGTTAGCCGAGATAAACAATCGTTTCATTTAAAGAGTAATTCTTTAGTGCAAACATTTGACAAATTTAACATATAAAAAAACTGATGAACGTACAATGTTCATCAATGACATCTGAAGCAACGCGTCACTACCACAGTATAGCAATACCACAGAATAAAGACGCACAGAAGGTCGACTCAGCCAAAAAAAGCGTAACCGCTGCCACGCCATGATTCGTCATCAAAATGCTGACACCATGGTCCTAGCCAGTGCGCTTATGAGAAGCATTCACCCCCCTGATAATATTCAAAATGGCCGACGTCCAGGGGGGCCATGGCGTCAGCATTTTGATGACGAGTTACGGATACGCCAAAGTCATAGGAAAAACCAGCTACTCAGTCCTTATCCTTGTGTTTTTGTTTACGATACCTAAAGTTCGCTTCTTTATAGGACTGAACATGTTTGTCACGGTGTAACGGTATAAATTTAGTTCTATATCTCATGTTAGGCAATGCCATTGTTCTTTTTGAAAGGTTACTAATCTTTGTTTTATCTTTAGTTTGATTCTTGTTTTTGTGATGTGTATTTAACTTCAATAAATTGCGTTTCCTTGCCGTTCTCATTTTGCCTTTAGTTGTATGCAGGATGTGTCTTCTTTTTGCGTTTTCTTGGCTCTCTGTTTCTTTTTTATAACCATTCTTGTCTTGGCTTTCTGTTTCTTTTTTATTATATCCATTCTGAGTCTTGTAAAACTTCACTGAAAAACGCTTTTTTCCTGTTGTCACATTGTTTGTACGTAGGGTTTGTTGTTCCGTATTCGTGTTCTTTTGTCTCTTCTCAAATTCGCTTTTCTTTATTGAGTTGCGTTTCTTTGTTCCCGACACTTTAGTTTTCTTTGCTTTTCCCACCACTGCCAGCGGCGGTCGTGAGACTGCGCCTAGAAAGTGTCCAAACATTTGTTGACCAGCGTTATCTACCTTGTTTATAACTCTATGCCTCTATCAGTTTTAAACTGTTGTTTCTATAGACTTCAGTAAGGATTATCACTTATTGATCCATTGTTACTACAGGAGGAAACCTAAATTAAACTATCATTTATTTAATCTGGATAGCTCTATCAGTTTTAAACTGTTCTCCCTACAGGTTCATCTCTATTTATACCGGATAGATCTCTTGGGGGTCCAGTAAAGGAAAGTCTTTGTTGATCCAGTTTTACTTCAACTTTATTTATACTGGATAGCTCTATCAGTTCTAAACTGTTCTTCCTAGAGGTCCAGTAAAGACCATCTCTAAATATCTAGGTGTATCCATTTAGATTTTTTCTCTGGCAAATGATTTAATCTTGGCTTATTGTATTAAGTTTTAGGAAGTGCGGAACATTACTTACGAAATGGAAGATTAGGAGCTGGAGAACCGTAAGCCAGACCTAGACAGAACGCACAAGAAATACTGATGGTAAGACAAACAATTACCAGTTTGTGTTTTTTTCATCATTTATGTATCAAACTGCGTGGTGTGTGTCTGAACTACCTGAAAAACACTTCGGAATTTTGAGTGAAGGTTAGTAACCACTACGTAACCTCGTGACGAAGAAACCATGCTCGAAACTTGAAGTTTAATCATTCTCAGGTAGTTTAAACGTAAAACCACGGCAGTTTTGACAGCTTTGGGAGTCTACAACAGCCTGGATCAAAGGCTGTTCTTAATGCTTTCCCAACACTGTCATGTATTCTATTTAAGTTAAAACATAGTTGGAATACTTATAAAAACTTCATTTTGTTAATCTAATACGTGACTGTCAACTCTCATCCCGTTTGACCGGGTCTTAAGGGCGTGGTCATCCTCTCATCTGACACCATGATTCTTCATGAAATGGCAAGTCTCGCTTTACTATAAGCCTCGATTTACATCGAAATCCGATGAATTCGAACACAGCTACATTAACCGTACGAATTCCGTTTGCGTGAATAGTCTCGTATAAATTATTTACCTGGACTTGGTCTTTGCAACTTTGGTGGCACAGCAGGTGGAACTGGCAGATTACCAGGGGGTGGGGGTATGGGAGGAGGGGCAGGGGGCACGGGTGGTGGTGGTGGTGGTGGAGGTTGCTTGGGTGGCGGGGGTTTAGGTTTCGGGGTATTGTGTATCATCACGGGAATAATTGGGGGTAAATGAAAGTGTGGTGGGTGTGGTAGCATATGATGGTGAGGGTAATGAGGTAGGATCCCCATTGGACTAAATCCCAGGGGCCCAAGTCCGTGTCCAAATCCTGGGCCATGGCCATAACCGTGTACCCATCCTGGACCATGTCCCATACCCCAGAAATGCCCTGGACCATGACCACCTGCGAATGGAAAGCTTGCCAATCCTTCGTTACCATGATGGAAAACTGCTGGTGGGTCAATATGGCCAGGGGGTAGCCCTAACCCTGAGTGGATTAGTCCATTCATTAGAGGAGGTCTATCTCTGTCATCATGTGGCATCATTGACGAGTCTATATGACCTGGGGGGATAAGTCCTCCACCAATATGGTGTAATGGTGGCATTATAGGTGGGGTATCATGAGTATGGTAGTGAACTAAAGGCGTGTCTATATGTCCTGGGGGTAAGAGATGCCCACCATGTGTGGGGAATATAGGTACTCTATCACCCTCGTACCTTGGAACCATGGAACTGTCTATATGCCCAGGGGGCAATAATGCAGAACCATGCACAAACGTGTCAGGAATAAGAGGGGGTTTATCATTTGCATACCGTGGTACCATACTTGGATCAATATGTCCTGGTGCAAGGTAGGGACCACCATTTCTACCCTCAGGGATAAGAGGTGGGTGATCACCGATGTATCTTGGTACATATTTTGAATCAATGTGACCAGGGGGTAGAAATGGATGACCATGATGAGGTTTGGTTGGAAATAATGGTGGTAGATCACTCAAGTGTACTGGTACCATTGGTGCGTCTATATGACCAGGAGTAATGTATGGTCCATGCTCGACCAAAAGTTGATGATTCTGGTTGGTTGTTGGTGCTACAAAGCGAGAGTCTATAAACCCAGGATCTGGGAGTGCACCAAATGGGTGATGAGGTGGGAGAAGCAGGGGGTCCCCGGGTTCGTGAAGGTGGTACGCCCCGGAGTCGAAGTGCGTGGGGTATGCAATGTCACCATGGTGGCCAGTAGGGTGTAACAATGGGCTTGGTGGTTCATGAAGGTGAAAAGCGCCAGAGTCAAAATGAGTAGGGTAAGCTAGATCACCATGGTGTAGAAAGTCTTCAGAACCATGAATAATTGGACCATGACCAAATCCATTGCCATGTGCAAAACCACCACCATACCCAAACCCATGAGAGAACCCACCACCATACCCAAACCCATGAGAGAACCCATCACCATGACCAAACCCATGAGAGAACCCATCACCATGACCAAACCCATGAGAGAACCCATCACCATGCCCAAACCCATGAGAAAATCCTCCATGGGAAAATCCGTCACCATGTGCAAATGACATGTACGAGTTTGTTTTGTCATCGCTTTTCCCATCTTCACCTTTTATATTATCACCTGTAACGTCATCATTCATTGGTGAATCTTCAGATGTATCTTTCTTTGTACTGGGGTCAGAACTTTCATCGCTTGGGTTAGCAGGTGTGGCAATATCTCCGTGATGTAGAAGGTCTTCTGAACCTTGTATAATATTTGAAGGTACATTATGTTCAATATTATTTGCAAACTGTCGCATGACGTCATTTTGTGGCATTACGTCATTTTGAGGCATGATGTCATTTTGGGGAATGACGTCATTGTGAGGCATTCCATCATTTTGAGGCTCATCATGTAACATGACGTCATTTTGAGGCATTCCATGACCATACGACATAAAACCGCCATGAGGCATGAAGCCACCATGAGACATAAAGCCACCATGAGGCATGAAACCACTTTGCGACATCAAGCCACCATGAGGCATAAAACCACCATGAGACATAAAGTTACCATGCATTTCTCCACTCATTGGGAAACCAAACCCACTATGACCAGTCATGCTCATGTGACCTGAACCACTTGTTGCAAATGCACCATGAGGCATTACATTGACATGAGGCATACCTGTTGAAGTAGCAATCATGTGGTGCGGAGGATGGTATGATACTGTGTTTTGCTGAGTCACAAATGAAGGTCCTGGCACCAGTCGTGGTCCATGTGGTATCATGGCATTCAGTTTCCAGTCTATTGGTGCGTAACCATGTGCGTGAATGCCTGGATATAAAACATCAAAGGTGTTTCTCAATGTATGGAAATCTGTAAAGATATTTGGTGCATGAATAGGTCCATGAGCATTAGGTCTGATTGCTGGCATACCCATCCAACCATGGTTCTGTCCTAGGTTCATGAATACATTCGCTGAGTGATCTGGCCCGTGAGGCATCACCACTAGTGGGTAACCTCGATGTCCATGCACCTAAAATGGAATAGATTTTTAATTCACGAAGAAAATTTGTATACTAAATGCTTTTTTGCTCTACCAATAAGCTAAGTAACTACTAGTAGCCTTTTCTGGGGTCAAAATTATATAAAGAAAACTTTACGAGGGAACGTCTTGTGGTGAATAATTTCTCATTTAGACTTTCCTTAGACGCAAACGATAGTATGCTGATCTCCTTCAGGACTCAATGTTTCGTAGAAAGGCTACGTAGTACGTATTTACTATGAACAATTAGATGCAGATAAAACAGGGTTTATTCTCTATATTTGTTTCATATTCTCATATATATGAAACTTCAAAAAGTGATTACCTGCTCAGATTACAACAAAATGCTTTTGACAAACACGAATGTTTTATGAGAGAGTGGACAATGTATGATATACGACTTTTCATCCTTAGTTGTAAGCGATGATAATGTAATGTTCTGCTTAAATGTTTACATGCAAGCTGTTTAGATCTAAACAGATGTTAAGCCTTGTTCTTGATCACCACTAGCCTGTGCACATCCTGTATTACATGTGTACAGGCTAGGTCACCACAAAATAGCAATATTACCGGTAAAGGACTGCCAAGTGTTGGTCCATGACTTGGTCCCATTCCCGGCGCATTCCTTAATGATGCTTCCCAGAGAGGTCCATATGCGAGAGCAGCATAAGGCACTGATTTTGATTTATCCCAGGGAATTCTTGCTGCAGGCGACCATACTGATCCAGCTAGAGCTTTAGCAAGTGATGGTGGAGCTAGGAACGACTGGGGGCCATTGCCTAAGAAATAGTGAAAATAGCTCTAAGGATTAAGGCCGCTTTTCTGACATGGATTTAAAGACGTGGGGAAACTTTACATCCTACTTACCTTCTGTTATTTAATATTTACTAAAACAAATATTACTAATACCGTAATTTCACACAGTGAAATTCCACGTCCATTATTTTAGCGATATGGACCTGCCTTTGCTCGCAATCCATTAACTTACTAACAAACAGGAGAATTGAATGAATATTGTGAAACTGCTTACCTCCAGTATTGACAGGCTGTAATAGATTTTGATGTGCTCCTCCCAGCAACCCTCCAGCATTAGGTCCATATAACGCTGATAATGCAGCCAGAGCTCCCATTGTTCCACCAAGTACTATAGGAGGTTTCCCACCAGCCGCCCCTGGACCTCCAGGACCACCTGCTGCACCACCAGGCCCACCTGCTGCACCACCAGGCCCACCTGCTGCACCACCAGGACCTCCTCCAGTTCCCCCCGGCTTTCCTCCTACACCACCTGGACCAGCTGCACCACCTGGCCTTCCACCTGCCGCACCACCTGGCCTTCCACCTGCCGCCCCTCCTGCTGCACCACCTGCTGCACCTCCTGCTGCACCTCCTGCTGCACCACCTGGCCTTCCACCTGCCGCCCCTCCACCTGCTGCACCCCCAGCTGCACCTCCTGCACCACCCCCAGCTGCACCTCCACCTCCTGCACCTCCCCCAGCTGCACCACCCCCAGCTGCTCCTCCACCTGCTGCACCCCCAGCACCACCTCCTGCTGCACCCCCAGCACCTCCACCAGCTGCACCTCCACCTGCACCACCCCCAGCTGCACCCCCACCAGC